CAAAAGTCCTCTCAAGGGGCTTCTAAACTATCTAGGTGAACAAACAGGTAAAAAGTCTTTCAGGGCCTAGTTTCTAAGTTCTAAGAAGTAGTTCTCAATTAACAAAGGTAAAACAAAGGAGGTATAGCGACTCAATATATCTTTGATTAGTTATGGTGAACTTAAAGGTAGACAGACAGGAGAGAGCAGGAAGCCCATCATTAATAAAGGTCATTTATAACCACCAGTGTGCTTCACTGGGCAAAGGCCACTCATTGTCTCGGGCTCCCATCCTGTGGGCCACGTTTGCCTTGTCTTGTCTTTCAAGACACAGGAAAGCTCACAGATTTTGAGATACCGGGAAGCCTTCCTGGAGAACATCCCCACCGGAGATCTGAGAGCTCTCCCATGCTGGCAGCCTCTAATAAGTGAACCATTGAGTCCACACATTCCTTCAGGGCAAAACCCTGCAAACTCCTGTTTCTGTCTTTAATATAGTAATATTGGGTTATACAATAGAATAATGATCTTATGAGCCACATTTCATTAATTCCTCAATCATATTTCCCCAACACTGAGCTCCAGAGTATAGGGACACCACCCTCAATATCAACATGGTTTTGTCCAGGTTTCCATCTATTCAAGTTCTGCTTTTTTGATTAGTGCTCAGATTGTCCCAGGATGAGAGTACGGAGAAAGACAGGTGGTGGCTGAGTTCTTGACAGTGCAATCACAGGAAATGATAACCTTTGAGGAAATGGCTGTAGACTCTACTCAGGAAAAGAGGGCCCAACTCAGAGGAAGCTGTACAGAAATGTGATACTGGAGAACATCAAACACGTGGTCTCCCTGGGGTCTCCCCTGTGAAAATCAGATGTGATCCTGGCTGATGCAAGGAAAGGAGATATGGAGGGAAGGAAGAGGATTTTCCCAAAGCCAGAGTCCAAGCAGGAAGGTCTTAAAAACAAAGACAGAACTTCCATGCAGAATATCAACAGGACAGAACCATCTAACAGCATGTCAATAGTAAGATTCATGAGAGTGAATCCTGTTCCTTCACATTCGAGTGAAGGGGAATGAGCTAAATTAAGAATACAGCACAATCACATGACTGTAATTTGAGGTGAGAGAAAGTGCGCTATCTCAGTTCAAAGGTTTGGATAGTTTGAATTTGGAGAGGCAAGGAATAACCTAAGCTCAAAACCATAACTTGAGTTCTTACAAGAGGGCAATTGAATAAATATAACCAATATATCAAGTGCTTGAAACATAATGAAGACCTCAATGTTAATCAGATAGCTATGCAGCTGACCTGCTATAAAGGAGGAAACTTCTGTACACGAAAGAGAGTAACACACTGCATGAACGTTACCAACGTGGGAGACTTTAACTGGAGACTATCACTGAATGCTTGACATGGAATTCATATGTAGAAAAATAAATGAATGGATGAATGAATGTGAGCAAACCTTCAACAGCCTTTTTATCTATCTCCTCAATAACAGAGATTTCACACTGGAGAGGAGCTCTTTCAATATAATGAGTGTAAAGACATTATCACAGCTCAGCATCGACTCAACATGTATTCCCAGACTGAAGAGAAACCCGATAAATGTAATGAATGTGGAAAACACTTGAGCCAGAGAACTAACTTTTATTCATACCAGAACTCACACAAGAGAGAAAACCTTTGTAATCGATGTGGAAATGCCTTCAGTAGCCATTTATTCTTTTAAACAAAATGAGTGAATTAGCACTGGAGAGAAACCATACGAATGTGATCTATGTGGGGAAGCCTTCAGTTCATGCTCTAACCTCAGTCATAATGAGACAATGCACACTGGAGAGAAACCCTACAAATGTAAAGAATTGGAAGAGCCGTAAGCCTCAGCTCTAACCTTTATAGACACAAGAGAGCTTCTACGAGAATAAACCCTACAGCTTTCAGGCAAAGCTCAAACCTTGAAGTGCAGAAAACACTTACATTAAAATAGGAAAAAAGTGACAAGTCTTTACCAAGAAGAAGCAGCCTGTTAGGAAACATGAGATAATTCATGGTGGACAAACAATTCTATGAAATAAACATGAGGATTCCTTTTCTCATGGAGCACCTCTGCAGGACATGTGAGGACTCACATTAGTCATGAATGAAAGTCTTTATTGATTATATATACATTAGTTAACCTTGAAGTTATCACATTGGGAAGATTCCCAGGCCTCAAGTCAGTGTAGAAATAGAGTTTACATAACTCACACTGAAAAAGAAAACTCTATCAAGAACCCCTTAGCACACAATTCAACAAATGATTTAGACTTTTGTCCAATGACATATTACTGGAAAAACATGTAGCATAGAAGTGTAGAATTGTGATGCTTTCTTGGAAATATTGAATATATAATTTGGTAATACTTAATAAGCAACGAGATAACCCCTCTTTAATAGATTAGTGCTAGTGAATATGTATACAGTAAAAGTTGTTGATGAAAAATGTAATCTCTTGATATTTATCTTTTTAAAACCCCATAAAACATTCTGCTGAGTAATTGGGCCATTTTTCCTTTAGTAGTCCATCACTGTTATCAGTTGATCAGTTTCTATTTTTCATACGTCTCCAAACATATATACAAAGATTCTGTTCAATCAGAAAATAACTTTAATGTAACTAAAAAATGTAGAACACAAAGTGATGTGTTCTATTATGTTAGTGATGAAATATGTATCTATACAGCAAGGGTGAATGGAAACATGAACAAATACCATGACAGTATCAAATATCCTAGAGGATCTGGAAGCAGGTAGTACACAGGCCCATACTTTATGAAATACCAGAAAACAGATGAATGCTCAAAACTGAGAAATATGATGCATAAAAGCACTGAATCAAGTTTACAATATAACTGAAATGTTGAGTACTAGTGGGAGAGAAGACATGAAAGCCTTATATGCCTTTTTCGTAAAGGCAAGAGAAAACCACTGGAGGGTCTTATGCAGTAGATAACATAGTGAGATTTTTAGAAGAGTGCAGTGGCCACGGCGGTGTGGAGACTGTCAGCTGGGAGTGGAAAGGAGCAAAACTGGAAGCAGGAGTATCATTTAGGTAGCTACTGCAATGACACAGATGTGGCATGGTAGCCTGGACTGAGATGATGGCAATGAGAGGAAGGCAAGAGTAGAGGACAAATTTAACCAAATTGTAAGTCGTATTCTCTACAAGACTTGGAGATTGAGGGAGAAGGACTCAAGGGTGACCTCTTGGTTTCTAGCTTGGGAAACCATCCAGGGTAGATGGAGGTGCCCATTATTGACACAAGGAATAGAGGAGAGCCAGGTTTGGTAGAAAAGGTGAATTCAGTTTTGGAATGTCAAGTTTGTATTTGCGAGATTGGATATATAGCATATTAGTGATGTTTGAAGTCACAACTATGGAAGAGATCACCCAAAGAGGTTATGTAGTATGTGAAAAGCAGAGTGCAGAGGATCAACCCCTGAGAAACACCAAAATAGTGGAATGAGGGGAGGAAGAGGAAACTGCAAGTGAGACTGAAGGAAGAGAAGACAGGGCCTCAGAAGCCAAGGGATGGTGGAAGTGATAAGCTCTGTCACATGCTCTGGAGAAGACATGCAAGCAAGGGACTGGAATGAGTCTGTTGGAGTTAATTGATGTGGATGTCATTGATGATCTTAACCAAGACTGTTTCAGTAGAATAGTGGGCAGAGAGACCAAAGTTCAGAGCAACCAGAGATGCAGTCAGTACACGTAGATACCCTCCCAAAGAATCCCATGGGGAAGACAGAAAAGATGTAAAGTGGAAGTTAAAGGGATGCTTGAGTTGAGGAATAGTTTACTATAGATGGGAAATATAACAACACATTGAAAGGATGATGAGAAAGAGCCAACAAAAAAGGAAACATTCAGTAAAGACTGGAGAGGGAGGAGATAATTGATAGAATAAGCTCCTGAGGAAGCCAGAGAGGATGAGATCTTGGAGCACCTATGTCATTCTTCTATAAGAAATCGATTCCTAAATATCGAAAATTGTTACTGTGTTCCAGTATCTAACCATTTATTTAGCAGACATTTATTTAGGGCTATCTAGGTGCCAGGCACTAAGATAACCCAACAGTTACAAAGATAAACATGGATCCCAATACCTGGAATTATGGATTTTTTTATAAGTTCTTTTAAGTAACACACAAATATCCTAAATACCATTGATCTTATTTTCTCACAACCTCCAGTAAATACTGTTTGGGAGAAGGTAGACTTCTAGTTTATAACCACAGTAGAATCAGTGTTTTAATGTTTATGATCAAAACTGTTGACAAACTTCTAATTTTTAAAAAATCTACCTAACAGCTACTTCCCAATATTTACCTTATCCCATTTTCTTCATCTGATTACTTTAAGTTGTTACATTCCTTAAATCCTTTCTGATAGGTGCTCAGTAAATGTTTGTTAAATGTAAAAATACATTAAAGTACCCAGCCATCTGAATTTACTGTCATTCTTTCTAACTTCCACATTTGCTATAAAGAAATAACAATACATGTGGTGTCCTATAAGATATATTACGTGATTTTTAATGTTAAATATAAGCTACCTGATAAAGTCAATAATGAAATATATGTTGTCTGGTTCTTACAGCAGAATCTCAGATTTCTTCAAATCCTGCTGCTAGGGCCAGGGCTTCTTCACATCTCATAGTCGAAAAGGAAAACAATAATGTTGTTAGTGCAAAGGTGAATCCATTGTGTCAGCTTATATGAAAGACTCTCTCCTTCCAAAATCCCACCACTCCAGATGTGGGTGGGTATACTATCCCAGAAATAGCTGTCCACATAACCTGCATTCTCATGGATCTAGATCATGTCTGGTTCTAAGAAATCCAGAGTTTCTTTGTAATGGTCTTTCAGAAAATATGCCTACACTCAACAAAAGTCTGTTAGAAAGTACTCGAGTGTCAAGATGAATGCCTGAAATTTCATTGTTTTTTTGTTTGTTTTTGTATTTTCTTTATAGGATAAAGAGGCACAGAAAGAGATCAAAAAAATAATCGCTTCCTTGAAGAGGTAAATAAAAGAACTTGCTCTTCAACAAATCAGATGTGGTCTACTAAAATTTAAACTAATCAAAATTGTGTTTTTATTATCCCTTTTTTCTTTTTTGATGTAAGGGTAAATGAGCTCAGATTTGAAGGTAAAACCACGTTTCTCCAGAATGCATTCCACTAGTAGCACTACAAAGCTAATCATGTTATTTGGAGAATCTATTTACTGTAATGTCAGTACATAATAATCTATAGGCATGTATGCTTTATATTTTTCCTATCAATAAACAATAGCCTTCAGAATATTTCTTTAAATAAAATATTTAAATCAATATAATAAATGAACCCTCGTGAGTATTTTATTGTCATTTCAATGGAAACTCTAAAACAAAATAATTTTATTGATGTGAATAAAAAATGGAAAAATCGGCAAAGAACATGAATGAGTTGTTGGCAGAAGAAAAAAAAACAAAAGAAGAAATATATTGTAACTAGTAATCAAAGAAATGTGAATAAAATTACCACAAAATACTACTTTACCATCAAATTATCAGGATTTTTTTCTTCTTTCAGGAAACATTCAGTGCTGCCAATATTGCCATGAGATGGAACATTCTCATACAGTGTTAGTGGAAGCATATTTTGGTACAAACCTTGCTAAAACTTATCTAGAGCCTTTAAAAAGTATTAACTCTTTAATCTTATAATTGCATTTTACGGAAATAGTCCTAAAGAGAAAAGTATAATGATTTATGTATAAATGTTCATAATAGCATAAGACTATGTCCAACATTAAGAAGGCAGTTAACCACATTAGAATATAACTACAATAGAATATCATTTTGACATTAAAATAATTACAAAAATTATATAGGGAAATGCACAGAACACTTATGTAAGTACAAGACAAAGTAGTACATATATGTAATCTCAACTGTATGAAGATGCGCACAGAAAATCCTCTGGTAGGAAATACTTTAAAATGGTAGTAGTTTATATTTCTCTGGGGCTGAGTTTTATTCTCTATATTTCCCAATTTTTAATAATAAACTAAAATGAATTTTTTTAAAAATTTGAATTTAACTAGCAGTAATCTATAAAGACTCCCTGAACCAGCCTCATCCTGGAAATTAGAGTAAGACTTGGATTTCCTATTTGCTATCCCAAATACACACACACACACACACACACACACACTGATATTATTCAAAATGCTCCATGGGAGCAACTCATTCCAACAGAGAGTGGTATAAAGACGTCCTCTAGGAATTATAAAGAATGTTAATAGTGGGACTTGGGACTCATAATTGAAAACTGACATAAGATCTAATCAATGTTCATTTATTTTAACAAAATTCATATTTGGTTCTTGTAATCAGTATGTCTTCAATGGACAAGTTGGTGTCCATTGATTGGGTGATCAGTATAGTAGTTTCTCAGTAAGGACCTGACCTAATAGAGGTGTAATACTCTTACCTCAATCTTTAGAATATTAGGAATTTCTGACACATTCGGCAGTTTCTCCACAGAGTGTTAACAGAGGGGATCCCCATCTCCATCATGGTAATACCCCTTCAAATTAGCACTAGCACTCTGTTGTATGCGCCATTCTAGAGTTATACCATCATCTCCGTAGTCTTCATCAAACCATATAATCAAAGAAGCTATGTGTGTTCCTGCCTTCTAAAAGCTGAGTATTTTTCTTGAATGACAGGATTATATGAAGAATATTATACTTACTCCAGGGGATTTCACACAAAGTGAGCCGTGTGGACTCTAGTTTTCTATGGTTAGTTCACTCACCAATCAGGCTGGTTGACCTTCGAGAAGACAGAATAGCTGCAGGGTATTCCTGAAATGAGGATTTCTCCTGCTGGATCACTAAGGCCAAGCTAATGGCACACCCTCCACTCACAAATGAAGTACACAAACTGCTAGCCTCTCAGGAGACTTTGTGCACCACTTTGGAATGGGAAAGTTCCCATCTAGAACTTTGAATATATTCAATTTCAAAAGATGAGAGTCAAACCATATGTTACAATTTCTCATAAAATATTAAAAGGGTATTTCTATTTCTAGCTGTTTGAGGTATCTCCAAATTCTTTTCCACAAAGGCTGCACTAATTTGCAGTCCCACCAGCAGTGTAGGAGTGTTCTTGTCTCTCCACATCCTCGCCAGCAGTTGTTGCTTTGGGATTTCTTGATACAGGCCATTCTCACTGGGGTTAGGTGTTCGGCCCAGCAATAGCATTGTTGGGCATCTACCCAAAAGAACATAAGTCTCTCTATTACAAAGACATCTGCACCCGAATGTTTATGGCAGCACAATTCACTATTGCACGGTCATGGAAACTACCCAGGTGCCCGTCAATTCATGAGTGGATAACTAAAATGTGGTATATGCTCACAATGGAATATTAATCCTAAGAAATGACAGTGAGCTAGCACTGTTTATGCTATCCTGGATTAAGTTTAAGCCCATAGTACAAAGCAAGATGACACAAGATCTGGAAAATGGGCTACACATCTACTCACCATCAAATTGGTACTGACAGACTAAAACTATGGTGCTCAAAAAATGGTAGTGTTCAACAGGGATTGGGGGGGGGAGACCCACATCTTAAGGAAGTGGCGAACATTGTGGGGGGGAAAGGGATTACTTCTATCCCTTTTTAGGGAGAGGCAAAGATATACACTGTAACCAAAATGTCTAAAAAAAAATCTGTTATCGGGAGCTGGGCAGGTGGAAGGGGGGAGGAGGAGAAGGGTAGGTACTTACACGGTGGGTTCAGTGTGCACCACCTGGAGGTTGGACACGTTAGAAGCTCTGGCATAGCTGGGTGGGGGAGGGGGGCAGGGGCAAGATATGTAACCCTAACAATATTTGTACCCCCATAATATGAGGTAATAAAAAATAAAAATTAAAAAAAAAGGGTAACTTAGAGTTCTACTAAAATTTTAACAATTGTGATGTCCATGTAATTGCGATATTAGTTTCTTTCTTACTAGATAACAAATGGCCTTCACTGTAACGTGAAAATCCATGGCACTTCTGAGTTCTTCCTAAAAGTTACAAAATAATTTTCATTTGGAAATATTTATACACTTTTGAATTACAAAAGTAAAAACTAGATGGGACTAACTTGTATACCAAATTTGTCACTTTACCAATAAACAGTTTAAGTGCTGATGTGTACATGACAAGGCCACAGTCAGATAAGTGTATTGGCTGAGCCAGGACTGGGTTGCAGGCCTTGGAATCTCCAATCTTCTGCATTCCTTGAGCCTACAGCTATTTACATTTGGAGTCCAATATACCTGGCGTAGAATGGGGGCTCTGAAAATGGTAACCCTTACCTGGTGAGTACCTATTCTACGTGTTTTTCCTATTTTAACATTTAGTCGTCACAGCAGCCCTATGAGGAAGAAATGTTTGATATTACCCCATTTACAGATAGAGAAGCTAAAGCATGAGATATTAAACACCACGCCTAACACAGTGAGCAGGGATTTCAACTTGGGCAGATGTCCCAGAGTCCCTGCTGTGGTCTGAGCCACTGTGCGATCCTGCCAGCAAATGGGAGAGACTGGGATGTGGGGAGTAAAAGAAAGTGGAAGGAGAGCAGGAAAAAAAAAGGAAGAAAGGAGCATTTTTTAAAAGTAGGGAGGAGTAATAAGGAAAGAAGGAAAAGAAAAGGAGGAAAGGCAAAGAAAAATCTTATATTTATCTTTTGGATATTGATATGCATTTTCTAGTTTCACATCATAAATTTCCAACAACCTGAAAATTTGTATTTTTCCTTATATCTTTTTCATATGCCCACCTTCTCCTCAACCCCCACCACCCCACCCCCTGCCACCAAGATAAGAAAAGAGAGAAAAGGGGGTGGTGAAGCCTGTTTTTAATGACTTGGCACCAATACCACCCCCTCTTGATTACTGTAGCTATATAGTATTGAAATCAGGTAGTGTTAATCCTCCAGTTTTGAGGGTTTTTTGTTTTGTTTTTTTTTTATTTATTTTGACTATTCTGGTCCTTTGCATTTTCATATAAATTTTAGAATCAGTTTTTAAAATTTCTACCAAGAAAAAAGTGGCTGGGATTTTGATTGGGATTGTATTGATCAATTTGAAGAGAATTGACATCTTAATTTTGAGTCTTTCAACTCATGAATGTAGTATACCTCTCCATTTATTTAGCTCTTTTTAAAGTTCTCTCAGCAATGTTTTACAGTTTTCAATGTATAAGTCTTTCACATTTTTGTCAAACTTATTCCTAAGTGTTTCATATTTTGATGCTATTGTAAATTATATTTTCATTTCAATTTCTGATTCTCCATTGTATATAGAAATACAATTCATTTTTGTATGTTAATATTGTATCCTGTGACCTCTTTAAATTCACTTATTTCTGAAAGCTTTTTTGTAGATTCCATTATATTTTCTACATAGCTGATCTTATCTATGTGAATAAAGATAGTTTTACTTCTTTCTTTCTAATCTGGATGGTTTTGGGTTTTTTTGCCTTATTGTACTAACTAGAACTTCCAATGCACTCTTGCATAAAAGTAGTGAGATCAAACATTCTTGTATTGTTTCTGATCGTAGGGAAAAGCATTCCATGCTTTGCCATTAATTATAATGTAATCTGTAGGTTTTTTGTAGATACCCTTTCTCAGGTTGAGGAAATTCCCTTTTATTCTTACTTTAATTAGTTTTTTATGGAATGAATATTGAATTTTGTCAAACTTGAGTTTATTGAGATAATCATATGGGTTTTTCTGTTTTACCTTGTTTATATGTTGAATTATACTGATTATTTTAAATATTAAGACAACCTCGCATTCCTGTAATAAACCTAACTTAGTCCTAATGTATGATCCTTTTTATGTATTAGTGGATTTGCTAAAATTTTGTTAAGAATTTTCACATAAATATTTACAGTGTATACTGGTCTATAGTTTTCTTATAATGTCTTTTCTGGTTTGGGTATCAGAGTAATCCTGGCCTCAGAGAATGAGTTGAGAAGTATCCTCTCCTCTTCATTTTTCTTGAAAATTTTGTATAGAATTAATATTATTTCTTCCTTAAATATTTGGTGAAATTCACTAGTGAACCCATTTGGGCCTGAAGGTTTTGTTGTTGTCATTGGGGGATGTTTTTAACTACAATTTCAACTTCAATTGTTTTAGTATAGGGCTATTTAGATTATCTTTCTTCTTGAATGAGCTTTGGTAGTTTATATCTTGCAAAGAATTTATTTATTTCATCTAAGTTGTCAAATTTATTGACACAAATTTAATAGTATTTCCTTATTATTCTTTTGTTTT